AGACCAACCAACCACTATATTGACAAGCATTAGATGCAACTATTAAGCTTAGTATATTGGTCTGACATGCTGCAGGTATGTCATGACTGAATACAAATAAAGCCATAACAAATGACTGAACAAAAGTCAAAAACAAACAAAAATAAAGAATATAGAAATACATATGAAAAATAGTACGAAAAATGCTAAAGCTACCAGTGGCTTTATGTACATTTGCAAATCATCACCATTTGAACCAGTTCCTTCAATGTCTCCCTTTCCATCAGGGTATTTGTTGGCCATCTGCACTATATTCTTATCCTGTTTGAGCTTCCAACCTTCAACTCTTTCCTTCCAGTCAACACTTCCCAGACCATATGAATTCAAGTCCTTTGAAGGGTCTACAATTCTTACAGGAACTGCAACCACATGAAAAATGCCAAAGAACTCAGGGAAACTCCTTTTGATATCTAAGATATGGCACATTGACAAGCTTTAGTAAGAAGAACGAAATCCAAGTCACCTGGCAAGCTAGGATCAACACTAGAAACTGAAGGAGCACGTTTGTCTCCATATCCTAAGGGGCCTGATGATCTGATGGACTGACGATCAGGTGAGGCATCTGGTATTTCACCAGAAATCTGAAGACAGTGGATTTACAAATGAGACCAAGAAGAAGTCCAATGAAACAATACGCATATTGTTCTTCATTTCTATAGCGATGTCAACAATAGAGCATTTTGGTAACAATTATAGCAATTCGTAGTGACAACAACGAGAACCCCCTAAAGCTTGGATCTGGCGGTAAACGTTGGATGGGAAAAAAAACAAAGACAGCAATAGAAGCAGCAGAAAGAACAATAAACTTCACTTACAGAACTATATAAACTGTGCAAAGGGGTGGTGGAAACTTCTATGAAAAGATTACTTCTGACAGAAATTACATTAAACATCAATATTCCTTCCTTTTTCCATAAAGAAATAGTACACACCTAGAGTGATCATAATGGTAAGATCTTTGAACAAATATCAAACCTAGCTGCAGAGGAAACAAGGAATGTGACCTGGTGAGCAGGTTAGCTTTATCTCTAAAGTGTGTGCAAGAAAATGCCAAGTATGTCATCACATAGAATTAGCAGCTCTAATGAATGAGGTTAGGCAAAAATCTCCCTCTTTTTCCAATAAAAAGAAGAATGAGCACAAGTAGGTTAGATAATAGCTAGCTCCTGTCCAAGTCAAATTCCCAAACATTAGGTTTTCCAAATGTTAGCTATTTAACTATTTTGTGCCCTCAGCAGTTTACAAGTTTAAGTGTCATGATAAAATATGTATTTTCATCAACATTTAAACCAAATATAGAGACTAAAACAAACTTGAAAGATATATTTGTTTTGCTAGGCATTCTATACTCGACATAGCATGGATAAAGAAATAATAAGCAAAATTAGCAGGTGGGACCCAAGAGGAACAAAAACCTGCAACATGAAAGTTGGGAATACCAAGTCCTAAAATGAAAACCACAATATTAGAAGTTGATGCATTAGGAAGCCTCTAAAACTGAATAACTAACAAATATTGATACGGGTGTATCTTCTCTTCGGGAGCTTAGCGATCCTCATGGGAGCTTGAGGATAGATGATTCTCATGGTATCTTGAGAATAGAGTAGATGAGTCGTGGACGAGGCCATTGAAGGTGACGAAGTCAAAGGATTCGACAAAACTACAGGATCTGCAGCTGGACTCTGGCCGGTCGACCGGATTGGTCAAGGCGGTCGACCGCTTAGTGCACAGGCCCAGACTATGTCTCGGGACTGAGAGCGGTCGACCGATGATGGTGCTGTGGTCGACCGGAAACACTGTAATCGATTTTCCAGTTTTTCGTCGTTCTGACCGGTCGACCGCCTTAGGCACTGCGGTCGACCGCGTAGCGGTTCCGGGCCTGGGTCTGTTTCCTGCTCCAATTGGGATTTCTGTTTAGTATAAATAGAAACACGACTTTTCTAGGGTTAAGAACTCAGATTGTAATCAGAAAAGAGATCAGGGAGGTTGTTCTTTGATCTAGAGAGATTGTGAGAGAGAGATTTTGTAAATCCAATTGATTCTCATAATCTAGAGAAGGTATTTTCCTTCATCCTAATTATAACTCTTGTGTTCTTCAGTCGTTTTCTTCTTTACCCACTCTTGATAATTCCGCGATCAAGAGTGCTCGCACGGCGACTCGTATCAAGTTGGTATCAGAGCCCTAGATCTTGTGAAGGGGGGAACTGTGTATGGTCCTTACTCGCTCACAGTACAAGAAGCTTGGCGAGATCCTTAATTCCTCGGAGGGGGTCCAGAAACGGAGGTGACAAAAAGGAGGAATCTTCTTCGAAGGGCAAGAAGAAACTCGTCGAATCCGACGAGGAACACGAGGAATCTGATTCAGAGGGGGAGACTGAGATTGTCAAGACTGCTGGCCATCAAGGGGGTAAGAATCATTACCAGAATCTGAAGATTGACTTCAAGGTTGAGATTCCTGTTTATGATGGGAGTATCAACGTGGAGAAGCTTGATGATTGGATCGAACGTATGGAGATGTACTTCACTCTCTACGGATATTCGTCCAAGGAGAAGATAGTGTTCGCGACATTGAAGCTTTCCGGGCACGCTTTGACGTGGTGGAAATCCTATTGCAAACAGGAGAGGAAAGCGGCGTCGTGGAACAAGTTCAAGGAACTACTTCGTAAACAGTTCTATCCAGTAGGGTTCCTTGAGGAGCGTTGGTACAAGTGGTATGGCTTGCGCCAAAAGTTTAATCAGACCGTTCAGGAGTATACGACGGAGTTCCAGCAGCAGGCGATGGTTCTAAACATCGCAACAGACGAGTATCCCATCTTCATGAAGTACATGGCGGGTCTGAATGATTACATCCGGAAGGAGATGAAGCTGTTTTCAGTGGAGACAATCGCAGAGGCGAGCGTGAAGGCCATTGCCATTGAGGGCCGGCAGAAGAAGGGCAACGAGACAAAGGGGGATTCCAAACCATCGGGGAGCAAGACGGGTGGCTCTCAGTCTAAGGATGAGAAGAAGAAGGTTGACTCGGGGAAGGCAGGATTGACATGTAATCCCTGCAAGCAGACAGGGCATGTGGCTGATCGTTGCTGGGATAAGTATTCTCATCTGAAGCCAAAAGGATTGAAGAAGAAGGAGGAGAAGAAGGCGTACGTGATAGCACAGGGTCCGAAGGAGGTTCCCGGGATGACCGAACCCAATAGCAGTCTCAACCTTATGGCGGGGAAGCAGGCTACCAAGGAAGATGACGACCCGAGGGAGCAGCTCTTTGTTCTGAAATTGCAGGTCAAGACCAGCTTAGTGGATGCTATTGTAGATCCAGGGAGTCAGAAAAATCTGATATCTGAGGCATTAGTACAGAAGCTGGGATTGAAGACGGTGAAGCATCCAAAGCCCTATCCATTAGGGTGGATTCAGAAGGAGGCGGGATTGAGTGTAGTGAACCAGTGTTCATTCAGATTTGCACTCCACGAGTCGTATATTGACGAGGTCACATGCGACGTGGTTCCGTTAGATGTTTGCCAAGTTATTTTGGGCAATCCTTATTTGTGGGATAGATACGCAGTATATGATCGGCGAGCCCAAAAGTATACGTTCACCAAGGATGGCGAGCAATTCGTTTTTCGTTCGGCGTCTCTTCCACAGGAGACGAGCTTGGTGACAGTGACTTAGGCTAAGAGGTTGGTGAACATGGGCAGGAAGTTCGTTTTATTGTTCATTCGGCCGTATGAAGAGCAGCTGAGTAGGATGTGCTTGTCTACCTTGAGCAAGCGCCAGGAGGGAGATCTTGACAGGTTGAAGGTCAAGTATGCGGACTTATTTTCGGAGATCACGGGGCTACCACCGCGTAGAGGTGTAGAGCATGAGATTATGTTGACCGGGGAGAGTTCCTTACCTAACATAGGCCTATACCGCACATCAGTACTAGAGTCCGAGGAGATCAAGAAGCAAGTTCAGGAGCTCTTGGAGACAGGAGTGATTGTGCCAAGTTGTTCGCCTTGCGGGTCACCAGTGTTGTTGGTGCCCAAAAAGGATGGAGGTTGGCGCATGTGCGTAGATTATCGGGCACTCAACAAGATCACAATCAAGAATCGCTACCCATTACCGCGGATCGATGATCTTATGGACCAGTTGGAGGGAGCGAGGTTTTTCACGAAGCTGGATTTGAAGTTTGGTTACCATCAGGTGAGGATTCGGGAGGAAGATACCTGGAAGACTGCGTTCAAGACCAAGCAAGGCCTGTTCGAGTGGTTGGTGATGCCGTTTGGATTGTGCAATGCTCCGGCTAACTTTATGAGGCTTATGAATGATTTGTTGCGACCATTTATAGAGGATTTTGTGATAGTTTACCTTGATGATATCTTGGTGTACAGCAGGACTTGGGAGGAGCATCTCGTTCATGTTGAGAAGGTATTTGAAGTGTTGCAGGACGGACAGCTGAAGCTCAACGGGAAAAAGTGCGAGTTCGGGAAGGACGAGTTGGTGTATCTCGGCTTCATCGTAGGGAAGGGCCAGCGGAGGATAGATCCAGGCAAGGTGGAGGTGATCACAAAGTGGCCGACGCCGAAGACAGTGACTGAGGTGAGGAGCTTCATGGGGGCTTGCCAGTATTTGCGCAAGTTCATTCGACATTTTTCGACTTATGCGGCACCGTTACATGGCCTCACAAAGGCTAAAGTTCAGTTTGAGTGGGGAAGGACGCATGAGGAGGCTTTTCAGTTGCTAAAAAGAAAGATCTCGGAGGCACCGGTGTTGGCATTGCCGAATTTGCAGCGGACTTTCGAGGTAGAGACCGACGCGTCTAATTATGCGATGGGCGCGGTGTTGATTCAGGATGGGAAACCGGTGGAATACCATTCTGAGAAGTTTTCGGGTGCTATTGCGAACTACCCAACCTACGACAATGAGTTCTATGCACTATATCAAGCAATTAAGCATTGGAGTGTGTACTTGTTAGGGAAGGAGGTGGTCGTGCATTCGGATCACAAGCCGTTGGAGTTCTTACATGCCCAGACAAAGCTACAGCAAGCACGGCACATGAAGTGGATGTCCTATTTGATGGCTTTCAACATCATTATTAGGTACAAGAAGGGGGCGATGAACAAGTTGGCCGATATGTTATCTCCTCCGTCGATAAGGTCTTTATTGGTGGCGACGCGTATTCAGCCCTTGGTTCCTTTGGAGTATGTACAGCTGTATGCATCCAGTAGAGACTTCGGTAGTGTGTTTGAGCAGGCGAAGGCTGGTCGAAGGGGGGAGTATGCACTTGGAGAAGATGGCTTGTTGTATCGTGGGACATCACTATGCATTCCGGAAGATGGTGATAGGTTGCAGTGGATTCGGGAAGCGCATACCTCGCGTGTGCAAGGGCATTTTGGCATTCAGAAAACGCTTCTCAATCTACGGCGACATGTGTTTTGGCCACGGATGCTTGATGATGTGACCAAGTATGTTGGAGGGTGTAAGTTATGCTGTATTTCGAAGCCTTCTAACAGAAAGAGGGGATTGTACCTACCATTACCGGTTCCTTCTAGGCCGTGGGAGAGCATTTCTATGGATTTTCTAGGAGGGTTGCCGACTACGAAGCGCGGGCATGACTATTTGTACGTTGTGGTGGACCATTTCAGCAATATGGTGATATTGATTCCTTGTAAGAAGACCGTGACGGGAGCGGGTGCAACACAATTGTTCTTTGAGCATGTGTGGAAGCACTTTGGGTTGCCGAGCTCGATTATTTCGGATCGGGATAGCCGTTTTCTCGGGCATTTCTGGGATTCTTTGTGGAGTTTGATGGACACTAAATTGAAGAAGAGCACGGCCTTTCATCCACAAACAGACAGACAAACGGAGGTAGTCAACCGGACTATGGTGCATATGTTGCGGGGGTATAATTCCAGGCATCCAAAGACTTGGGATGAGAGTTTACCATATTTGCAGTTTGCTTTCAATCGGGCGATTCATGGATCTTCCGGAAAGTCACCATTTGAGACTTGTTATGGGTTTGCTTTTAATCGGGCAATTCATGGATCTTCCGGAAAGTCACCGTTTGAGACTTGTTATGGATTTTTACCGCCGAGCCCGTTCGATCTTGTGTTTTCAAGTGAAGCCACAGTGGACGGCAAGGAGGGGAGTGAAAGACAACGTGCTCAGTGATTTCTCGAGAAGATTGCAAATATTCATGCCACGGTTGAAGCTCAATTGAAGAAATCGCAAGCTAAGTACAAGGCGAAGCATGATCAACATCGGGTTCCTTGTAACTTTGGTAAAGGCGATATGGTATGGCTAAAATTAGGTAAGGAGAGGCTCAAAGGAGAAGGGAAGAAGTTGAAGCCTATTCGTTATGGTCCATTTCGGATTATCGATCAGATTGGCGACAACGCTTTTCGTTTAGATTTGCCACCTTACTTAGGCATGTATTCGGTGATCAATGCCGAGTACTTGAAGTTGTTTGAGCCTCCATTATTGGATGATGAAGGTGATGACAAGATGATCTTACCGCATGTTGAAGACTTGTGGTTTGATAGAGAGGAGCCACTAAAAGAAGATTGCATTTTGGAACAGAAGACGACTAAGACGAGACGGGGGACGAAGGAGTCGTTTCTCATTGGACGTCAAGGCCAGGTCCCTAGCAAGGCCAAGTGGTTCAACAGAGAAGGAGGGGCTCGCGAGTTCCCTCAGCTGAAGTTCTAACTTGAATGGGACTTCAAGTTCCTAAAGGGGGGACCCATGATACGGGTGTATCTTCTCTTCGGGAGCTTAGCGATCCTCATGGGAGCTTGAGGATAGATGATTCTCATGGTATCTTGAGAATAGAGTAGAGGAGTCGTGGACGAGGCCATTGGAAGCAACGAAGTCGAAAGGATTCATCAAAACTGCAGAAATTACAGTTGGACTCTGTCCGGTCGACCGGCGTGGTCACGGCGGTCGACCGCATCGTGCACGGACCCCAACTGTGTCTCGGGACTGAGATCGGTCGACCGATGGTGGCACTGCGGTCGACCGGAGAACCCTGTAATCGATTTTCCAGATTTCGTCGTTCTGACCGGTCGACCGACTTGGGCACTGCGGTCGACCGCGTCGCGGATCCGGGCCTGGGTCTGTTTCCTGCTCCAGTTGGGATTTCTGTTTAGTATAAATAGAAACACGACTTTTCTAGGGTTTAGAACTCAGTTTGTAATCAGAAAAGAGATCAGGGAGGTTGTTCTTTGATCTAGAGAGATTGTGAGAGAGAGATTTTGTAAATCCAATTGTTTCTCATAATCTAGAGAAGGTATTTTCCTTCATCCTAATTATAACTCTTGTGTTCTTCAGTCGTTTTCTTCTTTACCCACTCTTGATAATTCCGCGATCAAGAGTGCTCGCACGGCGACTCGTATCAAATATCAAGAGAAATGTTTTGCATACCTGCTGCCCACTGGTCAAGCATGGAATACGGTGTTGTGACTCGTGTCTGGATGATGAAGACAAATCAATGTCTTCTTCGTGGCCTTGTTGCCATGTACGTAGTGCCCTGCAATTTCCTTGAGTGTAATTGAACTCATTTTCCAGATCATCGACTCCATCCTCTTCATCATCTCCCTCAACTCGAGGACTACCTGAATTTCAAAGACCTCATCATTAATCATAAATGTTCACTCGATGAGAAGGCAAAGCAAAAAGAGATTTAAAAAACATTGAAGTCACTGGCATTAGAATTATCGGAAAGAGACTAAATTGTTCCCGTTTTGTTTGCGGATTATTCAAACTCTGACCGAAGCAATAAATACATGCACGTCTTGTCAAGAAATTCCTAAGTTCCTGGTTATGTTCATGAAGCAAACTGAACTTTTATGGTATTATCAATGTGCACAACACAATCATGTAATCCTTAATCAGATTAAGAGGATGACATATTTTGCTCGTCACTCATTTTTCATGAAAATACAAATAGAGAATGGAGTGTCATTTTTATTTTTATTTCTTATTAGTTTACTCAGGCATCCAGGAATATGCCAAATTTTCTTGTATACTGAATTTACACCTTAGCCAAATTGTCTGCGTCTGTGAGACCTGTGAACCAATAAATCTTAACCCATCTAGTCAAGACTGCAGTACACCAACATACAAAAGACGGCAAAAATTACAGTGAGTTAACTGACCTTTCTGTCTTTTGTACCTAGTCTTGCATTGAGGGCAACATTGATTTCCATCCTTCCTCTCATACTCATAGCAAGGGCGGCAAACTGGGAAAGCACACTCATTGCAAGCAACAAAAACTTCTCCTGTCACTGTGAGCCCTACAGTATCTCCACAGATCTGGCACACTTGGCCAGCAACGTTTTTCATGGGCTTGGGCTGTATTATCAATAGAAATAAAGGTTAGGAGTTTCAATTCCCTATCGAAGCAGCATACTTCATTTATTAGATAAGCATCAGAATAAGACTATGAAAACACAAGTTTAGAAAAGAACAGTGACCAAGATAAACAGGAGAGGTAGATAAATCGCGAGCTCAGCACACATTAATTGAAACATAAACTTAGCATGATCATCTTAATGATGGATGTTACGTATGGAAGATGCATACAAGTAGAGAATGTCAAAATTTCCCAGATCTAATATAAAGAATACGACTTTGTTTTTGTAAAGCACATGTACTCCAAGGACCTATCTTTTCACTTTTTCTTGTAATTTTTGAAATTTAGGATGTAAATTGGCTACATCAATAGGATAGTCTGCAAGATTAAAACCGACAATCGACCCCAACACACCCAAGTGACAAATTCATTACCAAAACTCAGAGAAAAGAAACCATGGCCTCGATTAACCGATATTAAACTCCTTTTATTTTGATCAATCTAATCCCACTACCTAATTCCATTATAAAACAGAAAAACCTAATCCAAACCCCAACAGATTTAAACCCTAATATAAATAAATAAATAAATAATACAACATTCAACTACATCCAATTGTTCTTCAATTACTTCACTAACCAATACAATCAATCCATTTACATTTTCCCAATTCGATCAAAATCAGTGAAATCCCAAGTGACCAAGTCCAACCCCAATCAAATTGACTCCATCCAAAGATCCATGGACTAAAATGAGAAATTTCCAGTCCCCAGGCAGATCCAAGCATAAAATTCACTGATAAATCAACAAAAAAGATCCCTCTGATTCTTAAAACTAAAAAAAGATTCAAAATAAACAAAAATCCGAATCAGAAGATTTCTAAATAAAAAAAATCTCACCCCAGATTCTTCTTCGTGCCGAATCATGACGAACTCGTTCCTCTTGTGAGAGCCCGCCACCATTCCGGCATTCGCCGCCATTGTCTCCGATCACTGAAGATCGCTTCAATAGGCGAACATTTGTTTCTGTCGAAAGAGATTTTAGAGAGAGAATCTAGAGAGAGAGAGAGAGAGAAAGAGAGAGAGAGAGTCAGTCTTTTCTTTCCTTCTCTTCTCTCAGCCCAAAGGCCAAAGCTGTGTGATCTTCGCTTTTTATTTCTTACTCTGTTTCTTGCTGCAAACTTTGCTGGTGAGATTATTACCGGCTCTGCCCCCCGTAAACAAACAAATTAGTCTATTTTCATATTAGTTAGTAACTGCCACCTTTCTATTATCCTCGCATTAGATTTTTTTTTCTGTATCCTTTTTTGTTTGGGAAAATTGTGTCAATGTCCCAAAAGTCATATCTTCCTGGTTTAGCCCCTCTATTTTTTTTCCCCCATGTGAGTCAGCTCCAAAAAGTGTGACATCTTGTACTTCAGCCCTCTTTTAGCAATTATTATCCGCTAACTCAGCATAGAGAGAGGATAAAAAGTACAAAACCCTAAAATGCCATTATCTCTTTCATGTTAGATATATTTAGAACTAATTAGAATTAAATTAGACATAACATGATTTAAATTAGATTTAAAAAGAATTAAATTAGTTCTAATAAAAGTTCGCGTTAGTTCTAATTGGAGTTCATGTTAGTTCTAATAAGAGTTCATGTTAGTTCTAAATAGACCTAACATAAAAAAGATAATGGCATTTTAGGGTTTTTATAATTTTTATTCTTTCTATACTTAGTTGGCTGGTAATAATTACTAAAAGAGGACTGTAGCACAAGATGTCACACTTCTTGGGGCTGTACCACATGGGAAAAAAGTGAAGGGGCTGCATCAAGATATTACTTTTGAGGCATTGACACAATTTTCCCTTTTTGTTTTATAAAAGGTCATTTATTAGTATTAAATCTTGACTTCTTATGATCCATTACCTCTTGTTTTATTAGTACATCAAGCTTGTTAGCTTCTTGTTTTATTAATTAAATTAATCATAACTTTCATTCTTCTGTGAAATCAGGTCATACGAATCAAATTGGGCTTCCAGTATTGTGTAACTATCATACACTCGAAACCTAATTTTAATTTTTTTTAATAGTAAATCAAAAAATTGAATGTACCTATGGTTGCAAGGATCATAATTGTGTGTGACAATTCGTTAGATTATTCATTAATCATGTAATATTTGTAGTTAAATTTATATGGGAACTATAACGAAGCTATCTTCATGCATGTATATTTTTATAGAATTTAATGTTTATTTTCCTGCAGATTTTTTATAAATTTTCCTGTTATATATTCAACTATGTTTTCGCATAAAGGGAACACAACAAGGAAAAGTGACTCATTAAATGATATACGAAGAGAAAAAAAATTGTCTTCACGTTAGTTTTAACAAAAGAATGTGAAATATTTTTCTCAAATCTTATAGAAAGTAATTGGCGAAGGTTAAAGGACCTTTAAAAAAAATATTCTTAGTATATTCTGTTTTTAGTTCTTAAGTTCGCATATTCTTATTTATTTATAAAATATTAATTTATTTTCATACATTCCAATGCATGCATAGTTTCTTTTGATTTTATGAATTATATATAGTTTGTATTTGTATGTGAAATTGAAGTGCTTAGAATTTTTTATATTTACATAGTATATTTTTAGCTGTTTTTCCATTCATATATTGCATAAAACAAAAGTGTGATGCTATCCAAAATTATTAAATACAAATTCAATTAAGAAAAGAAATCCAAATGAGATAAAAAAAAAAACTTAATATCAGAATCAAAGAAATCAGACCCACCATTTGAGCATGGTATAACAGTTCTCTTATATGAAGCAATCTGGTGAAACTTAAAGGATTTTAAAGAGCTAATATGAAAACATTAAGAGTAGGCAAATTTTTTAAAGGCATAGCTTGTTAGGATGTACAATGAAGGAATGGAAGGTAATGTAAGGTTCAATGATGTGCAATGATGGATATACATTTTGTGGCTCTTGTGGCTCTTGTTTGGTTGGAGAGGGAGTAAATAAAAGTACACGACTTTTTAGTTCATTTTGCATCTTCTCTCTCCTTACTCTTGTGTCCATCCAAATTGGGGAGATTTTTTTTCTCTCTTTACTTTCTAATTCATTTTGTATTTTCTCTCTCCTCAACTCACTTTACTCTACCTTACATTACCCTCTAAAAACCCCCTACCAAATAGGATTTTAAATTTTATCCCTTACCTTAGGGCTTGTTTGGATTGGAGATAATGAGGTGTACAGAAAGTTAGGGGAATTTTTATTCTTTTTTTGGGAGTCAACTTATGCTAGGCAATGGGGGAGAAGGAAAGGTAAAGGAGGGCAGAAAAATCAATTTTTTGTTATGCCCCAATTTGTGGTGTAACTAGGATGAAGGGGATATCTAATAAAAATAACTTTGGAGAGTCTATTTTATTCTTCGTCTAATTTTTAACAATAAAATGACTTATTGGATGTAAGTGTAGGCGTTAAAAAATGCTAATAGATATCCCAAACATAGAGAAAATCACTCAAAGGGATCTCATATTGAAAATCAAGGCAAGAATGAATTGTCTCGCCAGCGAGACAGGCTTTGCTGTCTCGCCAGCGAGACAGTATATGCTGTCTCGCCAGCTGTCTCGCCAGCGAGACAGTATTCGCTGTCTCGCCAGCGAGACAGTATTCGCTGTCTCGCCAGCGAGACAGTATTCGCTGTCTCGCCAGCGAGACAGTATTCGCTGTCTCGCCAGCGAGACAGTGTTGAAATGGTCAAAACTACCTTTGTAACTGCCCTACACGTGTCCATTAACTGCCAAGGGATGTGGGAGACATCGTGGGCGGAAATTACGTGAATAACTGCCAAAATAATGGAGTTTGAAACGTGGGAAGGCAGTTAAAACGAAAACTGCCTGCGGTTACTGTTTGCGAGATAGTATTTACTGTCTCGCGGGTCGAGACAGCAAACACTGTCTCGCCCAGCGAGACAGTAAACAAAATTAAGCTTCGACTTGATTTTAAGAAGAACGACTATCTTACTTCGATAAGATATCGTTTCAATTTCTCACTTCGATAAACGAAGTCAGAATCAGTCAACCCCCTCTTCACGATCTGTGATTCGGCGGTCCACGAACCAAAGCGTTCCCGGCACAGGCAAAGTCCCACGAAAACAAAGATCGATAGACGATTTTTGTGTTTGTTTCTCAAAAGTTGTAATTTTCGCTTTGTTGTGTAGAAAAAGTCTTATAAAAAGATTATTCTTTCGAATTTGTTGTAATCAAACAAAGTTATAATGAATTCCTCAACAGAACCGACTTTTGACTCAAACAAGCTGGCGACCACAGTGGGAGCCAGCGGTCTCGCTGCCGAGACCGCGGTGTCGCAACCGATCAAGATCATCATCAATGAAGAGATCGAATACGAATTCGATCAGGCGAAGTTTGAGGAGTATTTATCATCCTCATCCGCGAAATCTTCCTCGTCTCGCAAATATAGGAAGATTTCGAAAACTTTCAAGTCTGCAATGCCCAAAGAGGCCGCAGGTGAAGGTTCCTACTCAATTGCTGCTAAGGAACCCATCTGCAACATACCTGCTCCAAACGACTCCACATCCCTTAAGGAGTCGATGATGAATAGCTCGCCGGTGCTGACGAAGAGGGCTCGTCAGAGACAGCGTCAGCGCCGTGCTCGACAATTGGCTAAGGCCATGCAACAAACCGACGGGGTCCATTACTATGCGGACCTAAAGTCGAGAAAACAGAAAATGACCCAGTTGCCTCAATGGCAAGATAATCATATTTCTGCAAAGCTTACGACGGAGGAATGGACTCTCGTCAAAAGGGCCCGTTCAACCCTTAAGGAACGGATACAAAGGCGTAAAGCGAAGGCCGCCCGTGCTCGTGCTCTTCGTCAACAAGCCCAAGGAACTAAGAAGGAGACGGTGTCTGAAAAGCCACCAAAGAATCGTAGAGTCTGGATGCCAAAGACGCCGCAAGCATCTGTTCCGGGCCCATCTACTGCATCAGCAGTAAAAACCTGGGTTAGCCCAGACTTGTCCAAGTTTAAGATAACAATGGCGGATCGCCTCGGTCCTTCAGTTTACAATCGAGGCAAAGCCCCAGTCAAGGAAAATCCGAGTCCAGCAAATAAACCCGTGGTGGTTTCCTATACAGGGGGTCGTAAACACCCTCCTGTCAGAACTGCACAAGTCCAAAATGAGAGAATACCAGTTCACTCTCGTTTAGGACCTCTGAAAACTCCACACCCGCAAGGGAGTGGATTTAAAATTTTAACTTTGGATCGCCCAGAGGCGACGACCAGTCGTCCTGTGCATGCTAACAAAGTTCAAAGGTAAAAGATAGGTTGCTCGAATCACAATAATGATCAGCTGTACTATCAGAAAGATAACTCAAGAAAGAGAGTTATCAGAGAAAACGAGTCTCATTGCGCTTGCGAGAGACTCATTAAAGCAGTTGTAGGCGTATAAAATTGCCTATAGGTCCCTTAGCACAGCTCAACGCCGATTTAACAAACGGACCACCGGGCGACGTATCCAAACAAGACCGTTAGCTCGCCAACGCTGAAGCCAAGCTATACGCAACGGAGCAGGTTAACGAGGCGACAAATCGCACCCAAGCATTGGAATGCATCCACTCGCACGCGGAATCAAACCAATGTTTAGGTGAATCACCGAGTCATCTAAACAAGAGCGAACTCGGATGAATCACGATCAAATCAACATCAATTCCGGACTCAAATTCAGAAGTTGATTTACTGCCATATCAGGAACCCGACTCACTGCCAAATCTGGTCGGACGATACCGCATCCAGTGTTGGACGAGTCAGAGAATCATTCGCGATCACGCCAGATCAATTGGCTCAAATGCTGCAGGAAGCGTTGGCTAAACAACGCGAAGAAATTAGAGCTGAGTTCAAAACCGAAATGGAGTTGACTATGCAGCAGATGCGAGACTTGCAGGTTCAGCAACACCAACCGGAGTCGAGCCA